TGGGGTTGGAGGAGATTTGGTGCCGTAGGTTGTTTTAGCTCTTTTAGGGACTGTTTCTTTCTTAATGGCTCTGTTTTTGGCTTTGTTTGTATATTAGCTCTCACCACCTGAATTTGCTGGTAGAGGAAGTGGTATTTTGTACACTGAACTTCTCTTTCTTGTACCTTGCAAACGGATTTAATGTTTCTGTCATTTTCATGGAAGTGGTACAAAAGCTTTCCACTCATGCGCAAGTCCCGTTCTTTTCAGCAGGCTCAGGTTTACACTACCTTGCTATTCTTTGGGATCTTCCCACATAGAGGCCACAGTGCAGCTAGCTGAGGCTGCTGTTGCATCCGGCCTGCTCCCACAACTGCTGCTTGGGAAAATTAGAATACCGAAGGCAGGAAGGCATTTCTGAACACAATACGCTGCTCCTTTGATTGTCTGATTGTATTTGTCCATAATAGACTCCTAGAAGAATGAAAACACTTACCTTGAAGTGATCCTTCTTCCCAGCCACAGGCCCAATGAGCCCTCAAAATCATGCCACCATGGCAACAATGGTATTCCACCTAAATCTGTGAAGTCTTCATATGCAGCTCTAGTTAGCATGCTCAAGGGGCAAACTGCATGGCATGGAAAGCTCCCTGCACCCGAAATTTCAAGTTGAATGTATAGGTCTGAAAATGGAGCTGTATTGGCCCCCACACGCTCCTCCGTATGCCAGATGACATTGTTTGGCCTCCAGCCAACATGCCAGGTGACCGGTCAGCTGGTTCCCTGCTTCGCTGCATGTGGGCTTCCCCCATGGGAAGGTCCGTGCACGGTGGAGTCGATCGAGCAGATGTGGGGACAGGGCAGCAGAAGCAGAGTGCTTCCTGGGTGTGCGGAATGCCTCTGTGACTGGGGCAGAAGTGAAACCAGAGCCTGCCCAGAGTACCATTTTAGCTCCCAGTTGGAATCCCCGTATTATCTCTGATCACAGACCATAAGGAGTTTCTTAAGCTTCTAGAAGAGCAGCAGTGGGAGGGATCAGAAGGCCAGCGCGGCCATCCGCCTGCTCAGCGCAGGACACCAAGTTGAACAATCCATTTCGGGTGACTGGAAAGCTTGCCTTCCCATTGGGCAGTCTAAGATAATGAAAGGAGCCTCCAGACTGGATCGAAGACTCCCAATGGTGAGCATGTCGTGAGCAGAGCCAGCCGGAGCCAGGGGGTCAGACTAGATGGCCCGGGAGACCCCTTCTGACTTGCTCTGTTTCTATGTTCCGCACAAACCAGGTAGGGAACCTCCACAGTCCAGGTGAGGTCCTAGATACAGCTTTACCAACCTTGTAGTAGAAACCTGTGATTGAAAAGAACATGGTGCCAGTACTTTGAAAAGTTGACTGCAGGCCTGTCCTTTCTGTTCATATGACTGAAATAGTCTTTTAAAAATCTCTTTATTTGTGCGCGTGTCGCCTCTAGTCCTGATAGGAGATGCAAAGGCAGAAATGAGGATGGGACTGAGTATTGTTTGGCCTTTCCTTCTTAAATACTTTAAGCATGCACATAAGTAAATGGATAGGGAAATTGGTGGAGGCACAGAGATGATGGGACCAACCCTGAGGAATTCTGTCCGGACAGCATTGAGAACCTCAGACAGCTTTAGGTTGTTGGATTCTACCACTCGTAAGAGACCAGTGTCGCCTTTGTTTGATTTAGAATCAAATATGAACTTCTCCACCATGTCAGAAGGGTTCTGTGTGTCAGAAGCCAGCTCTCTCCGCCTCCTTTCAAGCAGGTCAGAAGGTTTTCCAACTATCATCTTTATTATGCTAAAGCTGCCTGGATAGGCTGGCATTGTGATAGAAGAGTATTGCAGAAGCCAGCAAGAAAAGACGCCAGCAGTGTTGGCTATACTGGCCACTAGGGAAATGTGTCTTTGTGACAAACCAAAGAGCTCTTCTTCCTTCCAAACCAAGAGAGCCGGCTGTCCTTCGGGATGGATACTGCTGCTTATCGGACAGATCTTCTGAAACCACTGATGTTTCTCGGTTGGTCCGCCCTTCTAATTTGGTGCAGTACAATTGGGTCAATGATTTGAGTCTGCATCCGCTCATCAGTGCTTGCTCAGTAGAATTTCCCACTGACCTGGAAAGTTTCTTGTTCCCAGTGACTGCCAGGCCTTTCGCTGGGTCCACTGGGCTGGGCATTTCAGCCATGAATTCCATCCCCTTCTCACTTCTGAATCTGACTCAACAGTCTCTTAAGAGTTTGCTGTAGGGGGAGTGGGCCCCATCCGCACTGTGCTTAATGGAAGGTCTTCCGTTTCCAGAAATAGTGGAACTCCAACAAAGCGGCCATTTATATTCCATTTCACTCTCTCAACCTTGCATCTGCCCACACGTTCCACAAATGCTGATTTGAAAAGGAGACGTGATCATTTATTTAAATCTCTGTTGGGAAACAATTATAACTAGGCACCATTATACCTGGATTCTTCGAAAGGTAGTGAAATAATGTAGGCTGTAGGTAGGCAATTGAGAGGAATTATAATGACACGTGCCTGGCAGGTTTAAGAGTTTACCATTGACTGGACTTGCATACCATACTAAGTGCCTGGGGGCAGGGGTTAGTGTGTTGTCTGAATGCCCCTTCTTCCCAGGGGGTGACTTATAAACCACCCCAACTAGCCATGACTCGTAATAGGGTTTCTGAAAACGCCTGTGGCTTAGTATGTCATCTGGACCCCGCGCAGACGCTCAGCCATCCTCTCGCCAAAAGGCAGCAGAAAAGGGTGGCCGGGGGGTCTTTAGCAGAGGACAGCAGGCGCGATGCCCTGGGAGCCCTCCTTCTCTCGGCATAGGCAGGCACATGGAAACGGCTTGGCACCCACTCGGCTCTGGGGACGGGAGGGATGGCCTGCGATGGGAGAGGGGCTGCTCAGTGTTTCCTCTCAAGGAGCTCTGTGGAGAGGGAGCAGGGGGTCGGGGATGGCCCCCCTGCTGCTGCTGCTGGCCAGCCAATGGGATGGTGCTGGTGGGAGAAAGCTCTCCGCCTGCTCCCAGGGAGGCTGGAGGAGGGCGGATCAGGCACGCTTTTCCCCCTCGCTGCCCATGAGCGATCCCAGCAGGAGCCTCCGGTCCGTTTTGCACCTTCCACAGCTGTGTAGCCACCCTGGGCATAAAAGGGTTGTCTGAACCCGCCATGGTTTACTGGGGACATTCGTGTTTTGTTCTGCATCATATTTTTCCCCTGTTTTGTTTTTTCCATTTTAATGTGAAGAAACAATAGAAGTTGACTGGTGCTATGAAGGGACTCCTTAGATTTATTAAAAATATTAATCCGGCAGTTTAGCAGCACTATTAAGCTATCCCTTTTCTTTACTTTAACTAACACTCTAGAGAAGAAAACGTGCATAATATTAAGTGCAGCCATGGAGAAGCGCAATTTCATATATCACAATAACATCATTTTGCACTTTTCTTCTCTTCCATCTAAAAGCTAGAGTTCGCATTGGGGAAAATGGGGGAAATCAATTCAGTATAATCTACATTGTCCCTACCTTCTTCGAAGATGGGTGTAGCCAGGGCTTGACTGTGACTACCAACTTTCATTATCTCAGTCTTAAGATTTTACTCCCGTTTTTAGACAGAGCATTTGCAATCCAGAACCATATCCTGTATGTAACACTATTTTATTCTAACTTCATATTATGATCTTTTATTTTAAAAATAATTTTAAATCACCCATTTTTATTCTCCCGTCCACTCAGACAAAGGTGTCTTGTACCTTTGTCTTATTTCCTGTTTTGTACCACTTTTTTTATGAATTCTATTTTGCTGTTTGTGCCATAACAATGTCTTTTAGTTTAAAACAGCAAAACTTCCTTCTATTTTGATTGGATCAGAACCATTCTGACATTTTGTACCCCAGGGGAATTTTGAGGTTGGGGGTAAGCATAGGTGTGTGCAAACTTGTTTTTGTTACTTAGCAAGCAGCTATTTAAATGCATTTCAAATTAGCTAAATTGTTGGGTTTGCATTATCATCTTAGTTTGCTGGAGATACCTGGTTTCAGATCAAATTAATAGTTTCCTGTTGAGTTCTTTCCTTGGCTATATCAGTCTGTCTAATCCATTTTATAATCCAGAGATCCATCTGGATATAATTAAATGCAAGGATAACTGTTTAACTAGTTAGCTGCTTTTTTAAAAAAAACAGAACTCTGGCCCCTGCTACCCTGGCTTCAGCAACTGGTGGCAGTGTTATCTAGGTGATCTCACGCAAGGAAAGACTTTGAAGCATTTTTTGGGGAGCTCCGTATTTTTAAAATAGCAGGAAAATAACACCCAGTTATATTGTAGAATATTTGGAACCAACCCAGTTTCAGGAGCCTTCCTACCAAAACTATTTGCCAGAATTTTATCTGATCTCAAAACACCATTCCTGAGCTACAGCCACTCAAAACTTTTTTCAACTTTTTCCCTTCTTCAGACGAATTTGTTTTCTTTTTTATATTTTTAAAAAGCTTCCAAGTTTTTAGCAGTGAAATTTGTTTTCATTCTTCTTAGTTGTTGGATGGATCGTGTACTCGGGGTTCCTTATCAAACCCTGACTAGCTCTTCAGAGGTAATGCTGCCTATCTTATAATAATCGCTAATTAGTTCACCCTGACCTGACCCTATGCATATTAGGCCTGCATGGCTGACTGGGGAGTACTGGATCCATGGAATGTTTTCTGTCTAGGTGTACAGATGATCATACCTGTGAAGAACTAAAAATATTCCACATCTGAGGTGAATCATTTGGACCATACTATCTGATCTCCTAGCTTAATAGATCTGAAAATAAGAGGGATGAAGCTGTGAACTGCTTATTGAAGTGTTGACATTTGAATAGCTATCAGTTGTTTTATACCTGTGAGTGTATTACTATTTTTTTTAAAGTTAATAAGCACTGCATCCAAACGAAAACAATAAGCCTTTTCCAAACACTCTAAGCAAAGATTCTTTTCCTTCTTTGTTTCTGATTGCAGTGGATGATCCAGGCACCTTACAAAGCAGCAACATTTTTTGGGTGCATCGGAAAAGATAAGTTTGGTGAAATCCTCAAGAAGAAAACGGAAGAAGCTCACGTGGACGCCCATTACTATGAGCAGAGCGAAGTGCCAACCGGGACGTGTGCTGCCTGCATCACAAGTGACAACAGGTCCAGTACTCCTTCTCATGGAGATTTTTCTTGGGTAGCTGTGGAAGTGGAGGAGACAGGAGGTCACTCTTTTGGGATACGGCCGGGTCTGCAGCTCCCTTCCTAAGCCACATTGAAGAGGCGGCGGATTGAGTCCTGCTGCCTCCCCACGGTGTCCTTTCCGAAATCTCTCTTACTGTTGATCCCCACACCTGTAGGATTGGCCTCCCCTTGACCGGTTCAGTGGCAACACTAGTCAGCAGCTATCTGTGTTTCGTACCTTGCTGGGATCTGGAAACCTCCGCTGGCAGAATCAGAAGGAAGCTTCTGAGTGTTAAGTTTTTGAGCACCAAAAGGTGAAGCTGCAAACCAGGGGACTCCTAGTCAGGCCCTCGCGCTTCGTGCCACAAGCCCAGTGGGCGGCTTTGCTTGGAACGCCGTCCAAGCCCAGCACTCGCCTGCAAAACGGGGGTGGTGGCTTGATGGCACTTGAAGCGGCTTGAACACTCCAAATGGTACATGCCGCTATTATGTAGGAGAGACCGGGCAGGGGCGGCAGCAGCCCTGTCCACTGGTGAGAACCTGGACAAAACCAGAGTGTGGAAGTGATTCTCAGCCCAAGGTCCGGGCAGCCGTTCTTCGTAGAATACAGCTTGTCCCCAAGCAGCATCGTGTGGCTAGAGCATAGGACGGCTAACCTACCAGATGAATGTTATGGAAAACAGGGATATTGATGCATCGGGTCCCCGGTCTGGCATTCTGTGGTTGTTTCAGCATTTTGTTGCAAGGGCTTAATTAGTCCCAGGCGCATGAAATAATGTCACTATGACCTAGTTTGAACATAACTGAATATTTAAAACAGTCACTCAATGTTTTGAGGATGAAACCTGCAAAATGAGCCTGTTCTCGTTCAAGAGTCGCTCTCCTCCTGTTTCCCGCAGCCTCAAAGAGGAGACTGGAAGCATTGGCGTCCAGCTTTTAACTAGCGACATTGGATCCAGCAAGTACGAGGTGCCGTTGGATTGCAGCACGAGTGCCGAATCCCAGCTTGGAGGCCTCCTTTGGCCTGCTGGGCTCTCCGGCCTCCAGGGAGTAAGGTGTGGCCACCCCGCAGGAATCCCCAGTGGTCCCCCCCAGGGATGTCTCCCAGTTGGGAGTGGGAGCACATGCCAGGCCACCCTGGCTGTCAGATCAGGGATGCGGTGATGGGAAGCCCCAGCTGAGTCTCCCCTCGGGCACCTCCTGATGCCAGTGGGGGCTGGCCAAGGCTCCTTTCCCACCGCTGCTGCTCCAAGACCACCAGGCGCCTGTGCGGGGGGAGCCTGTCTGTGCCTGCCCAGCATCCCCATTGGGAAGACGGCAGAGGCCCGGCCACGGGGAGCAGCTCCCCCTGGGAGCGCCATTCTCCGATGATGCCAGCCAGCGGAGGGTGAGGGTCCTGGAGGAGGCGGGGGCGCCTGATCATTTGATTGTCTGGATGCATAGCCTGTGCTGTGGACAAGTTACTGTTAGGACAGAATATGGAGAAGCAGAAGGATTTCCTATAGGCAAAGGTGTCAGACCAGAATGCATTTTACCTCCCTCTCTGTTCAATGTGCACACAGAACATATCATAAGGAAAGCTACATTAGAATCAGAGGAAGGAGTGAAAATTGGCAGAAGAAGCATCTCTAATGTAAGGTATAATAATCTACTGGCAGAAAGTCACAATTACATGAAAGCACTGCAGCTTTTATTTTAAGAAGACAAAAACCATGTTCACGGGAGAATTACAGAACTGTACAGTTAATAATGAAGAATTCAAAATAGTGAAAGATTTCATATACCTCGGCTCCATCCTCAATTCAAAGGGAGACTGCAGACAGAAGAAGAAGAAGATAGAAAAGATCACCAGGTGTAAGGATATTTTGCTGGAGACCAGTGTCAAGATTCTGCAAACTATTGTATTCCCAATTCATGAATGTGAAAGCTGACCATGAAGAAAGCTGACAGGAAGAAAATGGATGCATTTGGAACACGGTGCTGGAGGAGAGCTTTGTGAACATCTTGGACCAACAGAAAGACAAACAAATGGGTTCTAGATCAAATCAAGACAGATCTTTTCCTGGAAGCAAAAATGAGAACCCAAGATTCACTGGAAAATCCAGTCATGTTAGGGAACATTGAAGGAAGAAAACGAAAGGGAGGAGCAAGTATGAGATGGATCGAGTCCATCAAGAAAACCCCAGCCTGGCCCCTGGGGGAGCTGAGTGGAGCTCTCCTGGACAGGACAGTTTGGGGGGCTTTCATTCATGGGGTCACCGTAAGTCAAAAACAACTTGACAGCACAGAACAATAAATAGTAGCCATAGTATGGAAAACTGAAGGCCAGAGTTCTGTTTTGTTTTAGATGTATTCATAAGTAGGACTTTTCTGCCCAAGGTAAGATAGAAGTCAGTTTTCAGATTAAGCTTGGTTATCAATGCCATTATAATGTATATCCACTATAGATTTTTCTGTAAATAAGGAATTTTAAGGTGATTTTTCTTTTGCCTTGTTTTCAGTTGATTGCTTACCTTCACCGTAATTCCAGTTGAAAAGTAAATCTTACTGCCACGCTCTGCAGAACAGTTTTCATATGGTCTATTTCTCATGTACTTGATTGCTAACATAATTCAATTGGGCAAGGAAGCCCAGTCATGGATTCGGTGGCAGTTCTGTCGCTCGCTCACAGAGACTGCCGCACCAACCAGTCTGCACAAGCGACTGAGAGTTGGGTTTGTAAACTGATCCAGGAAATTCAGTAGGTACAGTGGAATATTACCACTGTCCTGTGAACCTGCAAATACACTGCTGCTTTGATGCACAGATTTATTGTATGCCATGTGGACAAATGGAAAAGAATCATGAAAAGAGCGTCATTACCTGATCGTCAACAGCATTCTATACTATCATCTTTGTTAGTACTAATGTATTTATATATTATGTAGTATGAAGTCTTGGAATAGTATTAGTAGATTCAATGGGAGTTGGAGGATCATTTGCAAATGGTTTGCATCAGTTGTTTACATCAACGTTCTATCTGTTAGAAGGATGTAATCGCCCCGAGTATCTGCTTTCGAGACAGAGAACAGAGCCAAATAAACGTATCTATCGAAATAAATGAGTAAGGTTTGCAGCAAACGGTTGCAGCATATACCCAGGAACAAGAATTTTCAGTGAACAAAAACCCTGCAATGTTGTTCAAGCCTCTCCAGAGTAGGAGTTCAGGAGATCCCTCTTTTCCCCCACATGAGGTCTGGGACATGGTCTTGGCCTTGAACAAAAGTATGTAATCGCAGATAGCCTAGGATGGTCAAGAAGATCACAGTTGCCACAAGAGAACAGATGACCATGTTGACACCTTTTTGCCTTCTCAGGTCCCTCGTTGCTAACCTGGCTGCTGCTAATTGTTATAAGAAAGAAAAGCATCTTGATATGGAGCAGAACTGGAAGCTGGTGGAAAAGGCTAAAGTTTATTACATAGCAGTAAGTCTGATTAACCTTGCAAAATACTCACTTGCATTCAGAACTTGAACGATTAATCTGCCAATTGTGAATCTTGTGAAAAGAGGCAGATCCCCTCTCTCTTGCGTTGCACTGTGGCTTTCGTCAGCCCTGATGCCTCCTTAATTTGTTTTTAGTGGCATCCCAGAAGATGTTTTGTGCGCAAGTCACCATTTGAGTGAATGGAGCATAACATTTAGATTTTGTGTTTCAAACAAACTGATCGGAAGGATGCAGAAATCATGCAGTGCTCACTCTTAGTGTGATTATGCACTGCAAACAGTAGGATGGGAACCTCTTAATTACTATTTATTTCTAAAATAGAGTAGGGAATAATCTTGCATGGTTTCTTCAGTTCAGGAAAAGGTGAAGGGGATGACTAATGACGGGGCGTTTTTCCTGGATTTCTCCTGTTTGAAAAAGGGAAACCCACACGTTCCTGTGGGCTGCATTCTGGTACATTTCAGTTTCCAAGATTTGTGTGTTGCCTCGCTGTGATGCTGCATGGGAGATAACAATTAGGGGAGAGAGGAGGCAGCTGCGACAGATTGGAACACGCCGTGTGCCTATATACTGTGCGGCGGCTTCCGCCACCCTCGTACCTGAGCTGCGCACAAACAGCTGGCAAAAGGTGTAAAAAGTGGATTATCCAGGAGGAACAAATTCGTTAAAAGAGCTCTTTCCTTTAGCTGGTGTTAACGTCTCCCGCATTCTGGTATTGTGCAGTGCTCTAAATTTTCCGTGGCTGCTGTTGAGTCTTACCCTTGCCCAGAGCTGCTGCTCCAGAACGGTCCCATACGTACTCTGCATTATTATACAAAATGCAGAATGTCAGCTGTTCCTGCCACACCTTTGAAATACCTTTTCAGGATATACATTTCCTTAGTAATTTCTCATTTTTCATATATCCTCCCCCTCACCGCCCCCCCCACACACCTGCTTTCTTATTTCAAATGAATATATTGCGATCTGCTTTGAATGGCAGACTTCAAACTAAAAACTGTGAAGTAAATTTTGGAGGAAGACTTGAGAACATTTTTAACCCTCCTACATTTTGACAGAATGAATCTGCTGCTGGCATCCAATGGATTCCTTGAAATTCCAGTCAGGAATATTTTAAGTATATAGATGATGGATTTCAAAACGGATCCCGTTAAACGTAAGGGTATCAGTAGCATCTTCTGAAAAGGTTGTCTACCGCAAAAGCTTCCAGGGTACCCCACTGTAAGTGCCGATCTAGGTTAGTGACAGAGTTCAGCAGATTGTGCAACCGGGAGAACTAATGCAGACCACGAAAAGCGCAACTCTCTCTTATTGACGACAACAATATAACTATGTTGCGTTCTCCCACAAGGCTTCCATGCAATTTTCCACAAGGACCCAACCACAAGAGGAAAGAGCATCAAACAGTGATTGCTCACGGCACCCTGACTCTCAGCAGTGGAGGCGGCCTTTCCTCCAGTCCCGGTGGAAACGGGTCTTGAACCTGTGCAAGGCATAAGGAGTACGCTCGCCCGGTGGCCAGTGGCCCAGGTGTCCTTCTAAAATGCACATCCATCCCTTTGTTTTGAATCAGCTGAACCTCGGTCTTGAAGATAGCCTTTATTTAGAGGTGACTCTCTGCTGCTGGTCTGTAATGCATAGCAAGGTCATCCGAACAATACCCTGGTGCAAGCAACCTAATCCAGAGGTGATTGCAACTCAGTACACTACGTTTGGCAGAACAGTGCCGAAATCCTCATCAGTGCATTCACCAAAGTTCAGCAATGTGTCTTATGGGGATGGATAAATTTACAAGTTAAGCAACATCATATTAAGACGCAGAGTCCCCTTCTTCCTGGACTCTGATCATCGCTCCCATTTCTACACACTCATGGCAAGAGCAGTTCTGCCGGGACAGCAGAGAGTCCAAGCCGCTCTGCCAACAGAGGTACTCCAAAAGCTTTTGGCAGTTGGTGCACTTTGGCCACACAGCTTTGCTTCCAGTGGAGGCCTAGGGCTCCACCACTGTGTAACTTAAATTTCATAAGTCCAGTCAGGTAGCCCATCCTCTGGTACTAGGCAGGGTCTCCCTCAAATTTCCACCAACTGTAGTTCTGCCAGTGGCAGGACTGCACGAAGGTGCTTGGACAATAAGCAAGGTACCCCAGCCTGGGGTTAGGTCGGTCTCTGCTGAGTCCGGAAAGAAATTGGAAACTAGTCAAGCTCGCATGAAACTGTGCTATACAGAATTAACTGATGACTTGGTGGCTCTGGGGAGGGTAGCCTGGAGTCTCTGTCATCCCTAAGATTCTCTAGCGTTGCTACAGAAAGAGTTGAGATGCCGGCCACCTCACACAGGCGTCAAATTGTCACCTAGTGCAGCTGCTAAGATGCGGGGCCCGGATGAGGCCCGTGAGGAGTGGAGGGGAATCCTTTCTCCTGCATTGGTGCTCCAGCCATTGCAATGGCCTGGTTCACATGTATGAACAACCCAGGGTGTGGGTTGAGTGCAGTTTGTCTTTGCATCGTGGGTTGTCTTTATGTGGAAGCCCGAAGTATGGTTTGGCTATGACTTGTTAACCACAAACAACCCACAGTTCACAGGCCAACAACAAGTCATGGATTCTCTTGCTGGGTTCTTTGTGGAGAGCAACCCATGCTTAAAGTGTCGTATAGGATTTGCGCATCACAACAGACCATGATTCAGTGACAACCCCTGCCCAACCTTTAATCTGCGTTGTTGCTACATGTGAACCAGGTAAATTTCTCATGTGCCCACTTAGGTACTGCTTGTTGGCAAACTCAGATAAATCAGTTCATTTAATAAGCTGCATTGTAAAACTATTTAGTGTCTTAACCTTTGCCTTAATTTTTATAGACCTTTGCAAGCTGAAATTTGCGCGGATTCAACATGGGCAGAACTTTGTTGGCCCTGTTGGGTTCTTTTGTCCTCTGCCCCCCTTGCTGCTCCTCACAGGCCCTTGTGTGTGCACACCCTCAGGCACGCACACATGGAGCTGCTTTGGGGGTTTTGGAGTCCTCCACCGTTACAGTGGAAGTGGCACGGGGGTGTCCGGTGACAGGGAAAGGGGTGGAAATTGGATGAGGGCGCCTGGCACAGATCACATCCTTGTCGTTCCAGAAGGCCTTCACTTCCAGGCACAGCTTTTGAGGGGCCCAGTGAGCTGCAAGGAGGAGCAGGGGGGTGGACACCCCCCCCCCCGATCCACGCCAGCTGCTTTGCCAATTTTTGAGGGAAAGCAAGCTGACATGAATCATTTGGCAGGGTTGCTTCTCACTTGTCTTAATATTCCGTGTGCCAGGGACCTCTTGCATTTAAAAGTCCACTGTTACCAGTAGTTTCCACGAGAAATTATCGAGCGTTTCCCTCCCATCTCCGTGGACTTCCAAATGCTGGAAAGCTCCGGCTGCCTGCTCTTTGGGGAGGCCTGGGCACCAGTCTGCTCCTGGTGTGCTTTAGGAGGAGAACGCATTATTAGAGCACTTACAGAGCTGAACTTAGCTGAAGCAGCCCGTGCCATTTTTCACAAAGAAAATGTTGAACCGGAGCCAAATGTTTGGTGGCAGAGTCTGTTGCTAGGAAATCAAGGCCCCGAGGCGATTAATGACAAAGCAAGCAATAACAAGGAGGCAGAATTACAGATTTAAGTGTGTGTGTTGGGTGGGGGGGGAGTGGTTGGTGTTATAATTACCCAAAGAAATCTGTACTCATTAAATAGGCTGTTTTTATGATTGACTTTAATTGGAGGTTAGTGCAGATATTTAAGCTCCTTTCCCACCCCTTTAAGCACATGCATGCGCATAATCCGTAGAACGTCGGGGCTTGTTTCTCTAAGCATCACAAGGCACTTGCCCTGTAATTTGGTCCCCACTGACAGATGCGTTTTCTGTGCTGCCATTTTGAATTAACCTATTGTGCAACAATTTTCCTCAGCTCTCTTGAATAAAACATCAAGTCTTATTACCTCAGATGGATTTGATAGAGTACAAGAATGTACTTTCGGACGAAGCAAGCTGTTCACGGAGAGTTTGGGTGCTTGAACTCGGGGGATAAACCCAAATGATTTGTGATCTATGCTGAAGAAGAGAAAGCCAGTGAAGGGATTGTGTGTGTGGCTGGTGGAGGGGGCAGCATTGGAGAGGAGGGGACTCTTGGTGTACGTGAAAATGTGTTCCAAACTGCCCTGCAGGTTATAAGGTCTTCCAAAGCCCCCCCCCCCCCCGTAAAAAGTTAAAGATGCTGTTAGCATTTTTTGCAGATTCATTGTGTTTGTATTAGTCGTTATAAAGTGATCTTTTCACCTATCCATTCAGGGAATAGGTTTGAAGTTAAAGAGGTTTACCATGATCCATTGGGAAATAGAGACAAGGCTTCCTTTGTAACCTGTTCCTTCTCCGGTAACTTCTTTTTTCAGCATTTCATTAAATCAATCATCGTTATTGCTACAGGATGGCAAATTCCACACCTTGTTAGTAGTGTCAAGGAAGACATGACGACTCGCGCACAATTACCACAAGTGAATCTATGGAAAATATAATAGCAGAATTCTCCAGATGTTTCATCGAATGCGGAAACAATAGAGCCTCTGCAAATTCTGTCCAGCCATACTGGCATGTTGCTAATCAGATGCCGGTACCAAGCTGTCGGCTTTGTTAAATACCCAGATTCCCTGAGGGTAGAAGACAGCTGCTGTATCTACTACGAAATTTGGTAGCTCAATCTATTTTTGCTACCCTTGGGCTATCGAGCTACAGTTAATTTAGACCACCCCAACACATACACTTCAGGGAATTTTTTCCAAAGCATTTGTAATTAAAATGATAAAACATCATTATTACGCTGAAGATGGTTGTGTGCCGTTTTGCATTTGACAGATACCTACGGAGAGGAACTCAGCAGGCTGACTTTATTGGTGCAGCAGTTCCGAATCCATCATATGCTGCAGAGAGATAAATATTCTGCGCACAGAGTGGGGAGG